AGTCACGTCTTCTGAAGAGACAGAGCGTCTTTTTCAAATTTCTTTTATATGGGCGAAGAGAAAGCTATTAAAATGTGTGTAGTGACTGGTCCAGAAGATTTCAGGGTTTCTTGCCAGTAGGACATCTCTTCATCTGAAAAGAGAATTGTGAATTAATCTTTCAAATTAAAGGAATTTCTGTTTGGTAAATCCAAGGGAATACCAACCTCTCTACTTTCATTTTTATACACTTCATTACAGCATATAGTCTACACATTCTATAGAATGTCCATTGATTATTATAAAAGCCATACCTCTGGGTGTCATGAATTTATTCTTCCCTACTGAAGCCATTCATCGGCCTGAAACCACCAATCTGGAAATCTTCGTCACTCAGCATCAACAACAAAATCCAGTCGGATTTTCAATACAAACGTCAAGTCAGTCAGATCTTCTATACGGATCAGAAGCTTGGCGGGTGGGTCACAAAGAATATTTTCAACAGCCTGTTGCAGACCTTCATCAACCAAAACTGTCTTCGCTGGCTCTATACTGAAGATCAGATGGCCTGGCCGGGCCGGAAAGAATCATCAGCAAGAAACTATGGGAAGGAACAACCAAAACAAGAACCAATCACCAACCAAAAAATATGCAGGAGAAAGTGGAGATGGATTGGACATTCGTAGATGAGACCGTTGGGTGACATCGCGCTCGCGTCAGGTCATTGCTCGAGTGGAACCCGAAAAGGAAGCGGCGAGTCGGTCGTCAGTGGAAGAGTGACATGGAGGAGATTGTGTGAAGAGGACTTACATGGGTGCAGGTGAAAAGTATAGCAGAAGACAGAAGCAAGTGGAGACGTGCAGTTGAAGCCCTATGTTCCACTAGTAACCCAACGGAACAATAATAATAATACTGAAGTCAACAATTTTCTTCACAAACTGAAAACTGAACACTATTCATTAACTAGTGTAATTTGTGTATCTAGTCCTATCTTTGGTGCAGACTGAATTCTGTGAGTCAGCTGAGTTTGCAATGTGGCCACCATTTTAAGTGGCTTACCACCGCAGCGCACTGTGAATTGCTCATATTAGATGGCTGGAGGCAATCGGCTGGATAGGATTCACTCTTCAGCAGTACCAAGGACTACATACATTACACTAGGCAATGACTAGTGTCCAGTTAAAAAATATCCAATACAATCCAACTGGAGATCAATAACGAGCCTGAATAGTTAGCTCAGTGGTAACGTCTCTGACTGCAGGTGGTACTGTTTGAGCGGGTTCTAATTTTAGAAGGGACATGATCCCCTTCAATGTGGAAGCAGGCACGACTTACTGAATAGTGAATGTCCACTAGCACGAAACCTAGATCCAAGATTTCCTGTTATCGATTGCCTCCGAACATCTGAATGGTATTTGGCATTGATCTAGACGTTCTGAGAACAAGTTAAAGTCCATTAAAACTGGATGTCTAAGTACCAACAGTTCCGTATCTTTGTTGTCAATGTTTTCATATCCCCAATATTCTTCCATTCCATTTGTTTATTATTTATTGTTTTGCATAGAACCACAAGTGACTTCTTCTCATGTCAGTCAACATTAATTAAGAAAACTAGATACATGAATACTAACTACTATTATTCATGTTACAAAGTCTTATCAATAAAACAAGATATTTCACTAACCATTGAACATTGAATGTATTCAATGATTCAGCGGTTATTACAACATTCATCCACTGAATACACTTTTCTTTTTCTATATCAGATCCTCAAATAGTTGAGTTAAATAACAACCACAACAACAAAATTACAAAAAAAAATCTAAAGTAAACTTAGAGAAGAATTTCTTTCAGAGTAGGACCATCAGTCAAGTTTCCTTTTCACATTCTGTCATCCGTCAATCATTGGGGAAATTTTGCAAAAACCGTATTTAGCAACAATAAAAAAAGAGCATTACTTTTTCTCAATGATAAAAATGGGCTTCCCATTTTCTTTTAAATTCTACATTTGTCTGTTTCAATCTACTTGCATGCTTCTATTTCTATGTTTCTAAATGTTCTTTATTAGTACATATTGTGTTTCAACAGGATATTGGAGCAAGCAAAGTTTCTATCGAGATGAAGGTTTGTGTCAGGAGTGAGTTCTGGACTTAGTCGTTTTGAGACACAGCGTGTTTATCGCTCACACACAATCTAAAGGTGTATCTATGTGATGCGCATTTTGCATCACATTTCTCTGAATACTCCTTTTGTTACACAGAGGAACGGAAATACATAAAAAAGGCAATCGTAAAATTGTAGTCAGTAAAATTACCAATGTAACTGATTAGTTCAGAGTACAAACAGATTTTTATGAAACATTCTCAGAGAACAAGACAAAGCGAATATAGTTCTTCTATTTTCTTTTTTGTCAGCTGTTTTCCAGAATGACTGTTACATAGAGGTTGTATCTTTCTGCCGCATTATTACTACTATTAGTAGGATTAGTAGTATAATAGTAGTACTATGATTGACTTGTGTTCCAATGAGAAGAAATTTTAGATTGACACCAAGGGGTATTTTTTTCTTTCACAAAATATTTATTCCCCCCCCCCTAATTTAGATTACTTGAATATTCAATTTTCTGAATTAGACGAATAACTTCCAGGAGTGTTTGTATTCTAACCTCACCGTATCTAACAGAAATGAGTTGTACACTCATTTTCATGATCCCACGATGGAGCTGGAATCCTCCTAGTTGAAGTCTTCAGCATAAATTATCATAATACTCTTGATGTAACCGGACAGTTTTGATGTAGTCATGAAGTATACGCTGGAGACGTTGCCCATTAGGCCAATGAAAGCTTGGCGAATAAACCATCAAGGTCACGGGACACAACTACATCAAAATTGTACACTACGCCAACAAATCTTCTACATCGTGTCTATCTTTTACAAGCGGCATACGCTTCTTTCTGTTTTAAAGTGAGAAGAATTCGCCAAAAGTTAAGGATACACCAGAGAATGGTACAACTGTTTGATAAATCCCTCTTGTGGAAGGTTTAGTCACATTATTTGTACTTATTTAGATGTTTTCCTGTTTTACCTGCAATTTTAACGCTGCTGTTTGTGGATGTGTGATAATAACGATATTGTGTTATTTCTCACAGGATTTCACCATTGGAAAGCCAGCAGGGAGTATTGGACAGATGTTTCGTCCTAGTTTTGGACTCTTCAGTTGTACGCAACCTACGGCGTTAGAATTCAGGACCTGCTGGTTGCAAGGCGAGCTCGTAGGCCAGTAGGGTGCAACACATTAAGTGTAAGGACAAATACTCGGCGAAGAAATTGGATTGCGTTTGCGCTATGTCGTCAGTCGGCAGAAGTTAGAATTCATGGGCCACTGGATCGGGTTCCCAGTGGCTTAATGGTATACGAGCTAGCCTTGTAACCAGAAGGTCCTGCATTCGAACCTCGGTGGATGCGTACTGCTGAAAAGTTTCAAACTAGGACGAAAAAGCTGTCCGATACTCCCTACTGGTTTTCAGAATGTTCTCTAACAAATGTCAGCTCATGATGAAATCCTGTAAGCAATCAGTCAAAATCCCTACAAACCAATACTTGAATATAATGTGTTATTTTTGAATGCGACTTTGTTTGAATGAATGAAGGTCAATCTGACCTTAGAATGTCTGCTAGACTTAGTTGGTGAGGGATTCTTGTGGGCGGAGTTTTAATGCCACTTTGTTCAGAATATTCGTCTTAACTCTCAAGTACCTGGTAGAGTTGAGTTTTGGTTAACTGATAAATGCAATAAAATCTACTAAACCAGAACTCTCTATCCAAAAGACCGCGTTCAGACGCTGTTCCCACCGTGATTCTTCTGATCACCAACAGTGCCACTTCCCCTTATCCCTATTGGTTGGTTTTCTTGTTTCTCTTCGCTTATTATTACAATTATTACTATTATTATTATGCAATATAATTAATACTCTTCATGCAAACATTCTCCCAATACTACGAAACTTTCCATTTAAACTATCTAAACTTATTATTAGGAATATTATCTGTATTCCCGACATATGTCTCTACCTGTGTTATTCCGCACATAGGTTATTATTTCATGATTACATTCTCAATAGGGCTACTGTTGAACACAGAGAAAATGAAGGTGAGTGAAAATAACAATCCAACAACAACAACAACAAGCACTAATTACTGTAAAGCGAAGAAATTTTGAAAGACGTCCCTCCCTTCACTTATCTAGGAAACATCCTATCAGCTGCAGGCGACACCACGGATTACGATGTCAAAATCAGAACTGCAAAGGCAAAACAGATCTTTGTGACTCTGAAATTTATTTAGAAATCTTAAGAACTCGACAAAAATAAAGTGAATTCGGATTATCAACATCAATGTTTTTAAGTCAATCACTTGAAACGCACCTCATAGAAAGCATTTCCAACAAACTACAAATGGCCAGCCAGAAAGAATCGGCAACAAGGAACTCTGAAAGAAAACGAAAGAGTTAAATATTTACTGCTCAATAAGTTGTGATAAACAGTACATACTCTGAGGAGACCACTGGTTGACATCATCAGCCAGAGAGACCCGCTACTGGAAATGACGAGTTAGCTGTGGATCCAAAGTTGATATGGAAGATATCATGTGAGGAGGAGGAGAGTGAAACCTACGAGCAATCATGCCGCCGGATAAAGTATACAACAGAGAGTAGGATAAGGTGAAGTTATTCTGTTGAAGCACTGTCTTCCACTTAGAACCAATTGAAACAATAATAATCTTTTTAAAAATGTGTGCGTCGGTGGCACAGTGGTTAGGACTCTCGCCGACCATGCACATGGTCCGAGGTTCAATCTCCTGCCGACGCACACCTGATATCTATGGTCGGCCTGCACAATTCCGGCTGCCGATATCCATGCTGAAAATTCCATACTTGTACCAATAATACAGTGTGGAATCAAGCTGTAATCAAAAATGAAAAATGAAATAAATAAATAAACAATAGTGTTCATATAACTTACATTCAATGCTGGCCATATTTTACTACTTTTAGCAAAGCCATTTATGGACGGTTTATGCGTAGAATATAAATCCTTGTTAACCGGTGAATCTTCACTGAATTTCTCTGTGAAAGGATATACTGTTGAGGCTGCTGATGACATCATCGATTTATCATCATAATATTCTGAATTGCCAATCAATTGTTCAATAAATGCAATGCGTGCATCACACTCACGATAGCGTACATACAAGGCAATACCGAAACCAATTAATAATAAGGTAATTATAAAATTGCATATTGTTAATAGTTTACATCGAAATAACGCCTTGTTATTATTACTATTATTACGGTAACGTTGATGAGGATCATTCAACCCTGTGAAAGCGTTTGATTGTTTACCCTCGTTGTTTCCCTTCATGGTTGTCATACTTGAGGTGTTTAGTGTTGGCGGCTGAAATGATGTCTGCATTAAACTATGCTTATTCCCCGGGGAGTAGGCTAATGATTTATGATGATTTTTATCAGATAATAAGTGTTTCTCTTGAAGGTTAAAAATTTGTGAAACATTTTCAAAATTATTATTGTTACTATCCTCATCTATACTACTGTTTTTGTAGTTATTAGTAGTGGTATTATGATTATCAAGGGTATAGTCTGTAGCTTTATTAAAATACTGTGATGCTGTTGTGCTATGCTGTTGAATGTTTGGGCTTGATAGTGAAGGTAACTGATGGGCATAATGATTCTGTGTACTGTACATATGATATAGATGCTTTTTTATATGATTAGATTAGTCGACATCCAGACAGTCGGTTGACAGTGATGCAACGAACATCAACACCAATTAAATACACACTGAAATATATAGCAGAAACAAGTAGAAAACACAATAAAAGTAGCCATATTCTGAAAAGAAAACGTTTGTGCAGTTTACAGACTCTTCAGCACGACTTATTGCATAATATTTTCTCCCCATCGACTAACCCTTAATGGTACTTTCCCTTCGTCTCTGAGAAATGCTCACCGACAGGCTAAAAGCCTATTAAAAATGTGTTTGAGTACATTTCACGACTCTAAGAAATAAGTGACAATTAAAAATTGGAGAAAATATGATGCACTATATTAGGTAGCCCAGTGATTCAAGTAGGCCGACAAATTTAGTAGGGATATAAGTAATCATTTGTGATACAGTAATTATTAATCTTCAGTGAAACAACTGTCCAGTACTCTCAGATGGTTTTCGATGGTTCTCTGACTGATATCCCAACAAACTGACCCTTGAAACTTAATCTAATGCACACTAGGGAATAGCTACAGAACGAGGTCAGTAGACTGGAGTTCCAGTGAGGAGTCGTGACCAGTTAGTGGGGTTCACCATAAGGTCGAGTGTAAGAACAAATACTTGCCTATGACACTGGATCATGCTGTAGACGCTAAACGCACTATGTGGTAGAAGTTAGAATTCATGGGTTGGTTCTTGAGAAGTCGGATCCCAGTGGAAATGCCTGAGAGCGAACTCTGGTGAGCTGGCGCCTCCGATGAGTCCTAATCCAGGATGAAATAGTTGTTCAGTACTCCATGGGGGTTTTCAGTCATTTTCTCACTGATAAAACTGCGAACAAATCGAATCACTACAAGTTATCCCTTAAGAATTAAATGAAAATGCTTTAACACTGGTTTTGACATTAATAATGCTTCAATTCAACTGGATAAAATTCACCTGTCACTATAACTAGCTGGTCAACTTCAAATGTGGTACGGATTCGCTTTCCGGTTGATGCAATCGTAATCCTTGGTTAGTCGACAGTAAGAACAGTAAGGGGGTTAAGGCTTTCAATGCCACGCCAAAAAACAAACAACATCTTCGCTTTAAAATACATGAGTTTTGATAAGACAAGCGTGAATTGCAGCTGGTATTGTACATCAGTGCGTTGGTTGTTCAGCGGTAGAATGACTGCCAATTACTCATGTGGTCGAAGGTTCGATTCTAGGCCAACGTGCTCCTAAAACTCGTTTGGTCAGTAGTAAGCCCAGTGGAGAGGAAAGGTTTGGTGCAAGACCAGCAACAACATTGCTGCTGAAACTGCAATGCTCAAGCTTGAAGCCTTATGTTCCACTAGCAACGCAAAGGAATAGAATAAGAATTGATGCATCATCACAACCATGCTGGAATTACTAGTAGGTGTAAGCCATCTGGATGTACTTGCATTTCTCAGTGGGTGAGATGATGCTTCAAGCGAGGCTTGAACCCAGTGCCCATAGTTTCAAACGTCAAAGCGTTATCTACTAGACCACTTGGACCACGAGAGCCATCTATTGTTCTAAGGGTCATATTCATTATTTAATTCAAGTTTAGATTCTTCCGTCCATTGATTGGACTGAAGTGCTTGGTTTCAGGTTGACATGTCGGCTTCTTGTGCAGATGCTTCGACGATGTCCCAAATAGGACGAAATGCGCTTTATCCTGGATTCCACTGCTGGTTACCATCTACCAATTAAATACGAATCAAACGCCCAGACATCGTCGAAGCATCTGTACAAGAAGCCGATATATCAACCTTCGACCGAGTACTACGATCCAATCAATCGATGGGAAAATCAAAAATTCAATTAAATCAAACTAAATCCCTACAAAACCAATACTTGAAAACGACCTGATGTTCACTAGTGACTGGCCTTATTAGGGCAGTTCTAGTGGGAAGCCGTGACCAGTAGGTTACAGCAGGTTGAGGATGAGGCAGTAACTCATCGAAGAAAACATTCCGAAATGGTAGTGTTATTTCGTGTATTGGCAGAAATTAGATTCCAAAGACCATTGGATTGGTAGGTACCAGTAGCTCAATGGTCTACGAGCTTGCTAGCCTTGTAACCAGAAGGTCCTGGGTTTGAACACTGTAGGTGGGCGCCTACTACTGAAGAGTCCCCAGCTAGGACGAAGCAGCTTTCCAGTACTCTCAGGTTTGTTTTCCAATGGTTCTCTAACTGATGTCAGCTCAGGATGAAATCTTCCATGCAATCAAACACAAAATCCGTACAAAACCAATACTTGAATAATTATTATTTATTGAACTTTTTCCACAACTCTACAGACAAGTGAACACATTCTAACAGTGTGTTTTCTCCAGTATTATAATGCATTGGATTGAAAAAATCAGAAATATGCATTGTGTATGCGCGTGTGTGTGTGAGAGAGAGAAACAGAGAGAGAGAGGGAACAATAGGAAAATATTTCTGTCCGGAAACTCACGTCTTTTACAGCAACAATGATAGTAGTGGCAATAGTAGAGCTATGTGTTAAAGCAATTGTAATTTTTGTGCTAATAATAGCGGAAGCTGAAGTACCACTACCACTATTATGAGATATGAGTAGTACATATATATATAAATATCTACACATCAACATGTCATTTAATTACTGCCAAATAAATATAATAGGAAACTTTCACATAAAAAGTGAAAATACGTACCTAGACAAGTGAATGAAGAAATCATAACATGCCTTTCGTTCTCTTGCTTGCTTGTCTACAAATGTCAAACTATACAATCTAATAATACACTGTCATAGGATGAGTATATCTGTCACATTGTTATATTGTCGTCTTTTTCTCTTCGGTGTGTTTCAGTGATTCAGTTATGTCAGTGACAAAGAAACAATAGATCATGTGCCTGGTCTGTCATAATCAGAAGATATATATAGAATTGTTGAGGAGTGAGAAACACAAGATAGAGCTGTTTTCACCTCACCTGAATAATTTACATAAGGCTATGCCAGTATTCCTACAGAATCATACATGCGAGGAAGAAAGTCGCAACCAGCTTGCATTTTTAGACATACTTCTGGGTCAAAGAGATGATGGATGGTTCAGTAAGACGGTCTATCTACAGAAAGCTCACTTGGACAGGGCAATACACTCGTTTTCACAGCTTCTGTCCATTACAGCATAAGAGAGGCTTAGTGAAGTGTCTGTTCAAGAGGAGTCAGCGTATTCGCACAGCTGATTTAATAGACAAAAAGAAAACGAAATATGGATGGTTACTCTTGATGAAAACGGATATTCTTTAGAATTTTGAAACAGGTGTAGAATTCAACTAGCCTCTAAACCTAAAATCCATACCGTCTCTAAGAAAAAGATTTTCATCAAATTACCATATAACGGGAAATAAACAGTAGGATTGTGAGACAAAGGTGGAATCCGATCATCCGTAGAACCTACTATGCAGCCCAGCTTGTAATTGTGGAAAAAGCTAAAAATATGCTTTACTGTAAACCCCAAAAGTGCAAAAGTGATTATATCACATCCCATACAATTTACCAATTTTCGTGTGTGCCTGGTCACACATACATAGGGAGGAGTAGTCGCACTTTACCTGTGAGCGTGGGAGAACATATCCCAAAAACAAAATGAAAAACAAATGAATTGTGACAAGTCAATAGATGCAGGTGTCGGACTACCAACTTCGTCTATAGGTGAACATCTAATCGAGATGAACCATAAGGATGATGTTAACTCAGCCTTTAAGGTCATTTATAAAAACGGTCAAGGGCATTTACTGAAATACGCTGAGGCTATAGCTATTCATAGACTTAAGCCCCCCTTGTGTATTCAAAAACAGTTCGTCATTACTCTTAACCTACCTTGGTAATCCTTATTTGATTGGATTACCAAACGTTTGTGTTAATTATTCTTAATTCCGTTTTCTCTCACTTTGTTTAATTTAACCTTTCTATATATATTGACTTGACAAGTAAATGTGTGATCAGATTGTTCAAAGTATTTAGCGCAAATACATCACATTTTTCTAATAATCTCCATCTTCTAATTCCTGCTACCTTTTCTATCCAAATTCTTCCAGGTATAGTGCAGAATAGATTACGTTTTCTTCGAAGAGTATCTTAACAAGGAGAGAACAGATACTTAACACACACTTAGGGTTTGAGCAGCTCAAAATAACCAGATGGTAGCATAAAAAGAAATTTGCAAAGAAAACGTACATGGATAAGGGACAATATACACATTTTCACAGCTTCCTTCCTCTCAAGTACAAAAGAAATTCAGTAAAGGCCCTCAGCCACAATAGGGTTAGAGCTGTATGCTAAGAAGAAGTTACTGAAGATTAATTAAGTATTGTATATGGTAGTTTGATTGAAAATAGCTATCCCGTCAAATTTATCAAGAAACACATGACAAAGAAAGCGGGAAAGAACTACTCACTATCCGACTGCAGTTCAGAGGCTTTATACATAGCGAAATAATTACGAAGCAGTCAAGAAAATCACGACTGATGGTGATTCCTCGACTGATAGATGAAGTACCTAGACTAGCCACTTTGAATTGTATCTACCAATTCAACTACGCTTGTAGTGGAGCGAGTTATATCGGCCGCTGCTCTAGGAACTTGATTTTTCATGCTCGAGAACATCTTCCTTTATGACTGAGTAAATGTGTAGTAAAAACCATCAACAGTTCGATATTAGACCATCTGATGCAAACCGACCACAAAGCCAGCGTTGATAAATCCTTCTCCACCATCTACCGGGTGCCAGATAAATCACCAAAAACATCGAAGCACTGTATCCTCCAAACAGCAGAGGCTATCGCAATTTGCCTGAAACAATCAGTGCTCTGTGTGCAAAAGAAGCAAGTCCAACCACTACTACTGCCCTGACCAGCCTTCAGTAGAGACTATAAATTCATGAATTTGTAATATCTTTTCTAATTTTTTTCTGACATTCAGTGTGTATTGTTATGTTGATGCTACTGCGCTGTAATCCGTTGATATTATGACTGATTCGATGTTATTTAAACAACAATAATGTTGTTAATAGCAATAATTCATTCACTATTGTGTATATA